CCTCATGACTCCATAGGTTTCCTCCCATATCCCCAAAACAAACTTCTGATGGAAGATTTGAAAATGGCTCACATATACTGTAGGTGGGATTATTTTTTGGAGTGTGAATGGCTGTTTGTCTACATGTGCTTGTGGATTGACTGGCGATCGGTCCAGAGTGTAAGGGTCCTCTCACCTGTCAACTGTTACCCCCGACCCCAAAAAGGACATGCAGTATAGAACACGGATGAGCTCGACGTCTCCTCCTAATTTCAATGAACATTTAGCTCAGAGTTCAGGTATATTTGGTGACCAAAGATTGATCATGTCTGAATTGTTGTCTGTTGATATTAAAAATAAATACAATAAGCAAATTCAATATTTCTCAGCCTGTCACAAGAAAATAAAAGTGGTCGACAGCACAAAATGCAAGCATGTCAGATAGGTGCATATAGTCTTGCTTCTGTTCCGGCAAATGTTTACAGCACATGCAAAGCTTCATGTCCTGAACTGAGAGAACAAGAATGGTATTGAAGAAGACTAAGGTTACACAGCAGAGTAAAAAAAAAATCAAAAATTTAAGTGCATATCTTGTAAAATCTGAGACCAAGTCGGAAAAGGTTTCAGTTTTAAAAGCTGAATAGCTGTACTGTACAAGATATAGGCTTCCTTGAGTCATATCATATTCCCACTGCAATCTCCACCCCTGCCTGTCAGCCTTTCAGGTGGGCCGAGAATGTGCCTGATGAAAATAAGTCATCACAGGAACACTTTGACACTTCAGCTCTGTGATGCATGAAGGATCGTCCTCCTGACTCGTGTCTCTCCTCCACCCCGACCCCTTTTCAATCACACATACAACGTTTGCATTTCTCTCTGACTCACCTTTTACGCCTTTTCAAACAAACAACCAAATGCTACAATGAAATACAGTACACTATAGTGTGGTTAAACTCTCCTCCTGCTCTAATACTGTGCCATGTCGTGACATCCTCAAACAACATGTATCAAGCAAGAGAATTTTTATTGGCATCCTGGTAAAGTATCAAATCAATAAAAACATGAGTTATTATGAGGGACGGGCGAGTACCGATACCAGGTCTCGGGTCGATACCGACCTTATTTTAAGGCATTGGGCCCTTGTGTCGGCGGACGATACCAGTCATCGATACATCAGGAAAAAAAAATCTGACAGGGTAAATGCTCCCGGGCAGTAGTTGCCATGATACTGCAGCAGTTTAACGCAACGGTAAATCATCTGCATTAGAAAAAAAGTCTGTTGACATTTTTTTTTTTGTCATTGTGTGAAAGCAAAAGTATCAGAGGTATCGGTACTTGGTATCGGTGAGTACTCAAGGAGTGAACACTCATACTGGAAACAGTCTGAACAAAAATTGGTTTTGAACAGCCCTAGTTACTGTTTTACAGTAAAAAAAAAAAAAAAAAAAATCAGGTCTATTATGTCCCTACCTAGGAAACCAAATCATTCGAGCCTAGAAGCTATGAAGGTGTTATCAGGCTTTTTCTCCTGAAGGGGGTTGGTTCCAATTCCAATCCAGTGATTAATTCTTTCAGCACATTACATAACACTGCTGCTACAGATGGCAGGTTGTGCAGGTTCTTATTGTAGTGCTGCATTCAACAAATAATATGATGCATAGCTGCTTTTGTATATTTATATGTGGGTCATCTCATTCAACACATCTGAAACACGCAGCTGTGGAGCTATTCCAGAAAGCAGTTTCTACTGTACAATCGGTTATAACAAGGTCAGTGTCCACTCAGAAAAGCTGCAATACGCAAAACTAAATACAGACACAGGACAGACCTACAAAAGCTCAGACAGTGATGATGAATAACCTGAAACACTACAGCTCAAAGTGTAGACATGTTGGGCTCAACATGTCTCTAGTAATAAAATAATATTAAAGATCATCTTCAAACCAAAATGCAAATCAGCACCAAAACATTTGCTCGTGGAATGCATCTGCATTTCTATGGCTACATACAGGGTTGTTATTAAATCTTTGACATTGTGAACTCAATTTGCAGGCGAAGCTTACTTGTTACTAGCTTGTCACCGGTGCCCTTCAAAGTTGAGAGTTGCAATAAATAAGCCAGAACCAAAGGGAGGAAAAAAATATTATATGGCACAGATTCATTTAAAAAATAAATAAATACATCAAAGTAAAACATAAAAAAGGAGGCCTTGGATGTGAAATGATTATTCTCCGGGTTCTTCATTTTGTGTAGAAGACAGCTGACAAAGTCACGTGGATAAATGTGGCAAAAAAGGAAAGGTTTCTCATATATTTTCAAGCAAGACTTGAGATTTCTTGAAGTATCATACCAATTGTGCTTTGAGAAAAACTTGTCATCATCAGAGTAATGCTAGCGCTAAGAAGAGAGATGGAAAATCCCCTCTTTTTGTCTGGCTTTTTGTGTTTTGGTTGCTAGCTTTCATCACCGTTTTCGATGATATTGTTGACCTTTTTTATGCCATACTTTGTTGCAAAACAACAAACATTCACTTGCCCTCCAAGTGCTGCAACCACAACATAAAACAGGCTCCCAGCCGGATAAGCAGGTCTTTAAGATAATAAATTCAAATGTGGTTGGATGCTATGTGCTCTTGCCCTCCACCACATGCATAAACAACCTGCATCAGAGCCATATCTCAGGTACCCTAAATCTAAGAGACCCCAAATGAAGACCCCAAAAAATGTTGACAATGCCACACTGAGGTGCAATCTCTGAGCGTTAACGATAAAATAAGCAGCCCTTTGAAGAAGGAACACAGTGACGGAAGTCAAACAAAAATAGGCATCGGCCATGCTAGCAGGACCAGCAGGTTGCTTACACATGATTCCCGCCTGCAATGCGTGACTCGTCCAACGGTTGAATCGAGCACACATGCTAACGATGGATGCAGAGATGTCACCCGTTCATGCACGCAGATAAGCAAGGAGCTCGGTGATGATGTGCTCATTCAAACACACCGTCTCTTAATAGATGGAGTGATGCAATGATTTCCATATTGAGAGATGAGGGATGGATTGATGGAATACACAAATAGATTGCTCACCGGTTTGTCTTCTTTCTTTCCCTCCACCTCCCTCTTTCAGCACATTATCCAGGCTAAGTGTCTCTGTATGTGTGTGTGCGCGTGTATGAGAGGTGAACCGGCGATGATAGCCTGCTACATCCACATCCCCCTGCTGTCGCTGTCCCTGGCAAGCCCTCCCTCTTTCTCTCAGCTTTTTTTTTTTTTTTTAATGATTTTCTCCTTGACTCCCTCTTATTCGCTTGCTCTCACCTCACAGCTGACAGTTCACAAAGCACCTTATTTCTCTCTATCTGTTGGCCTTGATCAAACGTTTCCGTTTCATCCGGAAGGCCCAAAATAGAATAGAAGAAAAAAAAACGATGCCTGCCTTGTGCATTAAAAGCTGGCGTGTGTATAAGGTATGCTGATTCCCCCCTATCGCTCTCCCAGTTTTTCTCTGTCTCTCTCGTAAGCTTGTCTTGTGCGATGCTGCAGCACTGTAAGCTCCTCCCCCGAGAGACATCGGTGCCACACAGCTGATAAAGAGAGAGAGAGAGAGAGAGAGAGAGAGAGAGAGCATGGGAGGTGGGGGGCATAGCCATGGGGAGGAGGGAGGATGGATGGGAGTGGCTAGTGGTCGTGGTGGCAGGGTGATGTCTATGCCAGAGAGTCTGGCGCAAGGCAGGGAAGCCTCAGGTCACTCACATTAGGGGGGGAAAAAACCCTTCTGATTGCAATTAAACAATGGAATTATGATGTAGAAGTATCGTAGGGAGGGGCATTTACTTAGTACTAAAGCGTCAGCTCCATTCAAACATGAAAGCCCTTCTTCAAACTAAAGGAAAACAGATGAAATGCTGAATTGTGGTGTTTCAGATTTCATATTAGGCATAATCTTACAGTATTCTGATCATCTCAGTCCAAAATAGTTTTGAGTTGAGCACCGAATTGTGCTCCTTATTTTTTAATAAGTATTACATGCTTTTGGGGGGGTATGATAAACATTGAATAATACGCTGTGCTTCCTGTCATAAACTCTTCAGCAGCCTGTTCACTGCAAAACAGTTGGGCCTGAAATACCCTGCACATTTTTTTGCCCAATGAGTGTGTATGTTAAAGATATCCTAAGTCCACAACAGAGTTCGCGCTCTCCAGTCGCCACATTACCAATGGTGGGTTAAAATGCAGAAATGTCCATACGCATCAGTATGCACAACTGAATAATTCAGAAATTCTCCATAGGATTGGTTATCGTATAATCACAACACTTGTCCAAAGTTATGCGTCTCTCCATCCATCTATGTCTGCCTTTGAATAATATTCCTCCAATGCATATGCTTTTGAAAACAATGTGCCTTTTTTCTTTTGTTACATGTAGCCAACTGTGCAAGGTACAATGACATTTGTTCTCTGAAGTCAACCCATCCACGGAGAGCCGAATCCAGAGCTTGAGTCAATGCCTTGGTCAAGAAACTGACTGGAATTTCACCACGTTTTTTTTTTTTTGGACCTGGTGAGGTGTGGGGGACGGAGCACCCAGAGAAAACTCACACAGGCAATGGGGAGGACATACAAACTCTACATATAAAGGCCGCAAAGTTAGGCGTTAGACACACAATCACAATCCGAATGCTATAATTGCTGCGGTCACCAATAAGGAGCTTTTAATATTTCCCCTGCTTAGGGGCACTTTGTAAAGCTGTTGAAAGAGAAACTACATTTAAAGTTTTTACAAATTCAAGCTAGTACACCCAATCCTTTTCAAAAACAAAAAAAAATTAAAATCTTTGATTTACAGTATGTTGTATCATCATTCAACCCAGGGAAAAAAACTGTTCAAATAAATAATAAAAAGCTTCAAATTCATCTGACATTCATGCGCTGGAGTAGAGCACAGCCATCTGAACCGTGTGTTTGTTTGGACCACATTTCCATGAACAAGCTGTGTTATGAAAAAAATAACAGTTCAACTCACTGTCCTCTCCAGGGCATGGCATTCCAGGTCGCTCCGGAATACTTGGGAAGACTGTGTGTAGAAAAGCAGAGTGAGTGAGAAAGTATTTGACCGCCCTCTTCCTCAACCCAACAGCTGTGCTTCATGATGGAAGTTGAAACAAGAACGATCTGGATGGCTCACACTCATGTATAAGCAAATGAAAGAATGGCTCAAAAAATGACAGAAAAAAAAAGCACTAGGTATATTACTGATTTCCAAGAGCAAGGTTTGACATGAATAATGTGTGACCAGTTAATTTAAGAAGGTCTGAATCAACTAAATTTGGAGTGAACTCACCATGCAACAGCAGTCCGGATCTTTTGCTTCGATTGTAAATACGAAATGCCTCCTCAAGCTCCAGCGGAGATGAGATGGTACAAGGATCTCCTGCGAACGGTCACAAGAAAAGTGAATCTGAATTACGTCTAATCTTGCTGAGCTTCAATGTCTGTTTTCAGTTGTTTTTGGATTGGATTTTGGTTGATTTGGAATTGTCACTCTACCTTAACTATTGGGAATTGTGTTTTTTCTCTCATGTACTATGTAATCGCCATAGCTCGCATATGTTGTATTGTGGGGAAAAAAAATCATGGCAAAATACGTAAACCAAAAAGAGGTTTGGGGACTTCTACAACTACTGCAGTTCAAAAAGTTTGATTTATTTCCGAGAGTGGGATTCGAGTGAGAACGTTTGGTAATTTAATAAAGTGTAAACAGGTACAAACATCTACCACTTCAGCCACATTTTCAGCTTTAGATAGTCTACTCTTGTATCATTATACCATAGTTGGCTTGTTTTTTTCTTTTTTTGCACACTGCTTTGCTACGCATCCTGATGTCATGAAACATTACACATTACATAATATCTAATACCTCACATTTATGTTTTCAGATTTTTGTATTTTACTCGGTTTTTCACAACATATTTTAATTGAGAGGAACGAATGAAAATTGGCACTGAAAAATACGAGTATACAACCCATCTCGTCACAGGGTACTGAAACAGTTGCAAAAAAAGATGTATACAAAGAAAATGGTTGAGATAATATATGTGCCTGTTCCTGCACTCCATTATGTAATATGATGTACATATTTTTTCAACAGCCAAGTGACACAAATTTAAAGAGCAATGAACATGCTCAAGGTCAAATAGAGCAAAACTTGGACGCTATCTGACTGTGAGGCAGACCCACCTTCATCATCAATCCACTTGAGTGTGATGGGCTGCTGTCTGGTCAGGCTGCACATCGCTCTCACCTCCTCACAAAGCTCCACGAAAGTTAAAGTGGCAGCTAGGTCTGTGATCAACATGTCTCTGAACACATGCATACACGCAAACACAAACACAAACACGCAGACACACACTTGTGGTTGGCTCACTTGTTTGATTTTGAAGTAACCTTCCCGTACGCTCTGATCAATTCTTGCCAGTGTAAGTTGAGTGAGACTCATACTTCAACATTTTGGAACTAAAAGTATCTGCAATTTTAAGTAAGAGAAGCAGTTGCAAGAATGTAACCCTTGCACTGGTGTTGAGGGTAGTGTGTATGCTCCAGGGTGTGCAGCGCTCAGAGGGATCTGCACAATGACGTTAACAGGCAATTTTGATCTTTGACCCCTATAGAACGTTTTTTTTTCCTCGCTTCCAGCTCAGCTACTATGCTGTGGCGACTTGGCAACAAGCTGTGATTTCGAGACAAAAGTTTAAACTGTTTTTTTTTTTTTTTTTTTTTTTTTTTTTTTTTTTTTTTTTTTTTTTTTTTTTTCAGGAGGCGGCGGGGCACACTGTCAAGGCAATTGGTAGTGTAGTGGCTCACACATATCACTTCCAGCTCAAGCCTGTGCTGGATGACTCCGAACAGGACAAGTGGTAGACACAATGCACAGATTGATGGGCACTCCACATAACTGGGTGGGGTAAAAGCCACCTTTTCAAGACTTTATAGAAATGATAACGGCCAATTGCCAGAATCGGCATAAATATACCGTATTGCTCAATAATCTGAGCAGAAGATGCATAATTGATGTGTCCTGTTTTGCGTATTGTAACAATTGGCATATTTGTATTTCCTATATTTAATGGTTCCTGGCACATTAATTGGCACAATCGTAGTTCTTATGTGTCAACCTCTCCTCTTAGATGCACATGGAATCCCCTTCACAAGAGAAGGTGTGTCTGTCAATCTTAAATGATCCACATGCATTCCTGTCATTCATGCCTTGCAACACTTTCTCCTTTTTTTCCCACAAAAGTGATCGAAAGACGTCATTGGTTGTCAATAACTATCTACTAAACTAAGTATGATCAAGAAATGTCTTGAGAATTTAAGTATTGTACAGCACAGTACAGCCGTTCCTGAGTTTAAAGGTGACAACGACACCCCCAATCACAAGTGAACAATTTCACAATACTGTAAATTGAAGCCAAACAAGGAGAAAACAATTAAAGGGGAACAGAATTGCTGCTGAACCAGTCGTCATACACTTGTAGAAACCTCAGAACAGAAGCTCTTCATATGGCCTGCCCCGAGTCCCTGATCAACAGGTGTTTCCCCATTGTTGCTATACCGCAACGTCATGGATGGCTTTCGCTTTGCTCTGCCACATGACATTGCCATTACTTTTTGCTCGTCACTTACCCGCGGTAGTGAGCTTTAACTTTCACCGACTCCGACTCCAGGTCCATTACGGATCCGTTTGAGGCTAGCATATGCATTGTGTAGTTTTGTCAATCTTCTAAAAAGGCCAACTCAAACCGCTTTCAGTCCTGAATCACCGCCCGGTCAATGTCGATGATAAATATCCGCTCCGTAGGTGACACACTGGAAAATAAACTTCGCGTGTCCGACTTGGAAGTTTCTTGGGTACAGATAACATTCCGAGTATCGTTGGAGCTGAAGTCAAGTTTTACTGTTAAACTTTTAAGTTCCGTCTGAGGCTTTCAAATTAAAACATCTACGAAGTAATAACAATGAACACCTGCCCGGAATTATTCTATGCACTTTTAATGTGAAGTAAACCTTACAGGTTTGGTCATTAAATGGCCATCTTGAAACAACTTGACAGTTTCTTCCAATTCGTTATGGTTACGGCAGACAAACTCACCCCCCTATTTTTAATGTAACAAACAAAGCCCATAACGGGTTTTCAACAGTGATTAATCCGATTTAAAAAAAGACTTGGACCCTTTGTTGAATGCATTTCTCTGTAGTTGCTATACAGATCAATCTCCAGCAATACATAGATGAATGAGCTAAAAAATTGTCACCTTTCCCGAGATGCTCTTGAAAACAATGACATGAATTCTCAATTTGACCCCGGGGAGCACACACACATTCACATTTGCACCCACGCGTATATATTTTTTTTCCTTTGCCATATTAGAATAAAGTATAATTGCACATCAATTAGGCATAGAAAAAAAAGTAGTGTGTTTCCGGTAACCCGACCGACCGAGAATTTCTACCTCGAAAAAAAACTTTACGGTCGGCATTTTTTTCAAACAACCTTCAAATTTAACACAGTCATCATTAGTTCTACCAACAGTTAACATTAGCATTACTACACCTTGTGACGAATGTTTTAATCATAAAGGTACCATGCTACAACCAGTAAATTATAGAATAACCAATACTGTTTCATAATATTTTTCATAGCGATTAGCCTACAAATCTAATGACCAACTTGCCTCGTAATCGTGCCTCTCGTCGTATCTCGCTTTCGTGTTCTTTGCATACATCCCAGGTGAGTTTAGTGATACGCCCTTTGGACGAGTTATACGAAAAATTAGACTGGCATTCCCATTTCTTAAATGTCGTAATTAGTAGACCTTTGTGAGTTTTTTTCGCCGCTATCTCAAACTTTCATCCGCGCGATTCCTCAGTTTGCGGACTAAAATAGCAACCCGCATGCGCACATAACGTTATCTGTTGCGTCCCCCCCAACACTGAAAACAAAACAAAACAAAACGAAAGTAAATTCGAAGAAACACACTCACATACCACACCACATCACAAACACATACAGGCGCAGTGAAATCGCGTTGATCACACAGTCAA